TACAGGAAACTACAACGTGGAAGTGCGCTCGACTATGAAAGCCCGAATGACTGCGGACATACCTCACGGAGTAGTAGTCTCTGCATGTTTCTCCTGTTTGTAGAAGAGCATCTCACACTGCTGTAGCAATCCTAGACTGCCCTCGTGCGGTTAGGAGCTGAATTGCATGTCAAATAAAGGGGGGAAATAAGACGGCGAATAGTAATAGTCGCATTAAAAAAATCGATTTTTCAAAAATAAAACGACTATTCGAAAATTGAAAATCGTGACCCATCCCTACCAAAAACACATCATTGAAACCACAAAATATCTCCATACTGCTCGTCCGTAGTGGTCCAAGATCCCTCGGCATATGGGTGAGTAGATAATGGCTGAATTTTCATTTTTGGGTGCACTAACCTTTAAGGAAATAGATGATGGTTTGAGTTAAAATTAAAGATTGTTTCCAGAAAAGGTTTTCTGACAGAAAGCTCTGAAAGTTAACTTATTCAATGTGCTGTTTTAATTAGTGGAGTCAATTTAAAATAAACTTCACTGCACTTAAGTGGTTAAAATTATTTACATTACATGTTGTTTTAATCTTTAATGGCCAAAAGCAAAAAGTAAAGGGGTAGCAGCTTCATCTGTAACAGATTTTGTTAAAAGGGCGGATAATAATCAAAATTGTATCGCAGCAGAATGTGTGATATCGGCAAATATGGTATCATTGTCCAAACAATGGATGTAATATTGAATCATAATGAAACTAGAGATTTACACGCCTAAAAACTTATCGTATCGTATTTCTGGTCAGATTTGTAATTTTGTTGATTTATTCTTTCCTCTGACAGTTCCTGATTTAACTCCAATATTTGCTAATTTTAGACCGTTATTATGACCTAACAGGGTTTATTATGACCTAACAGGGTTTATTATGACCTAACAGGGTTCACCTCTACCTAACAGTGGACTAACTAACTGGACGAATAACAGGAGTAATCAAGATGGTTTGGGTAAGTTTTATTTTGTCTCTGTCAAGTTTAAATGAAGTGTGAGTTAACGAGGTGAGTAAGCGCTATATATATATATATATATATGTATATAGGCCTCAGGGAAGAGCAGTGTTGAGTATGAACCGGCACGTTTCAAAGGGGTACAACACCACTGCCCTCGCCTCCTGCTAATTTCTTAAAGGTTTCCTGACTGACTGTATTTACTGTAGCAATCAGGAATTATTACCAACATTTTGGCTCCACCCACTTTCAGTTTTACCTCCAAATATGTGCTTTAGATAAAATGTTGGCTTGTTCACAAACTGCTCAACAATCTGACTGCTTTCTTTCCCATCAGACTTGGTTGTGCTGATACTGCTCTGCTGTCATGAAGAAGAATTATTCTTCTTCGTCTATGACATGTACACAGTATGTATCCTGTACTACAGTAATGCCTGACCAACTGGAGGATGAAGATACTCTTCCTGTCTGTGGCTGAGGAAACACTGTCTTTATCAGTCGTCCACTAATGCGATTTTCTTGCCACCTCAGCATCTGCCTCCATTTCCCAGAGCACTCAGGTGTCTGTGCTCTCCGACAGAGAGCATGAAGAGATGAGCTTGCAGACAGAGAGACAGCTACACCGCCCAGGGAAACGGCTCTTAAGGTAATTGTCTGCTGATAAATTTACTGGAAAGTTTGAGTGCTCCAAGGAATCTATCTCAAGGTTACAGTTTATGTCTGTCGTTGCTTCTACAACAACACTGCTGCTCCCTCTGCGTCAGGACAGCTAATCTGTGAGAGTAAATCACTGAGGATAAAGACCTCCATGTGTTGACCCATGACCTGAAGAGAAGTCTCATACATCTACACATCTTTAGACCTACAGTACAAACAGCCTGTGCGACGCTGCTTTCAACACATGACGATGACATTTAGGACAACATCAGAGAAGTCAGAGGACGCCTTACCCAGCTCGGGGGCCTTGCTAAGGACAAAGGCGTAGGCCCAGAATTTGGTGATGGGGGCGCTGTAGAAACTGGTGTCACACACTGTCTGTCTGAAGCCGCTGGTTGTGATGACGTGCAGCATGTATGATCCAGTCCTCAGTGCTCCGATGATGCTGCAAAGTGAACCCATAAACACATCAGCAAACAATTTACCTCCTGTTTAATTACACTGACATTAACAAATACATTGTGGGGGGGTTAAGAGGTGTTTAAAAGACAGTTTCTGAAACCAAAAGCCTGTTTGCCAGCCTGCAGCCACTTGTAAATGTCAGTGTTGAGCTCTGTCTTGGTTGTGCCAAAAGACTAGATCAGGAAGAAAGGAATATTAAGGATAAAGACGCAGATAAAAATGTAAAAAAAAAAGTCAGAAAAGTGCAATTATCCAAAGCACAGAGGCACAAGGCTGAGGACACACTGGACAGAGGTCAGAGGTCACCATCCTGATGACCTGAGGACAGAAGTCTTATCTGACATATCTTTCCCTCAACATACATTCTAGGAAGAGTTTCATGTTTATTTAACACTGGTATTAATATCTGTCTGATGCAACAGAATCTTCAAGAATTACATTGAATGAATTAACCCTATGGGCCCGAACGACGCATAGTGCGTCCAAATTCACACCTGTTCTCTGTGGATTTTCTCCACGACCGTGCGTCATAGCGAGAAGCCACGCATATCACATGAAACAGTAGAATCATAGCTTTCTGACAAGATCAAGCACTTGTCGGTAGTCCAATGTTTTCATAGCGAAAAAAAATGATAAAGTCACACTAAAATTATGTATAACAGAGCTTTCATACAGCTTTGCACACACATTACTGTTGGATGGATTACTCGCGAAGGCAGGCTCGCACAGAAATGCCACACACATCACATGAAAGCGCTGGAGCAGAGCTTTCCTGTGATAACACACACATCATTGTGCTGTCATCCCATCACGCTATAAATCCAGATTAATTGTCTACAAAATAAAAACCTGACAAATTTCTTTACAACCCGTTATACAGATCTTCTTATCAGTCAGTTCATATAGTGAGGAATATCGTATCTTACCACGTCTTAGGCTTGTGTGTGTTTCTCCCTGTCTATCCACATTTGTAGTCCGGCTTTCAAGATGCAAATATCTCCATATT